ATGCTGGCAGGCGCCAGCGAAAGCTTGGTATTTTAACTTATTAAAACTTTTTATAGTTTTATAATTTCCTGGTGTTCATGAATTTTTGCTAGCTAGCATATATGTATGTATGTATGTGTAGTCCCCAACTTACGACAATTGAGTCCAAAATTTCTGTTGTTAAGTGAGACATTTGTTAAGTGAGTTTTGCCCCATTTTACGACCTTTCTTGCCACTGTTGTTAAGTGAATCACTGCAGCTAGTAAGTTAGTAACTGCACTTAATAAGTGAATCTGGCTTCCCCATTGACTTTTTGTCAGAAGGTTGCAAGAGGTGATCATATGACCTTGGGATATAGCAACGGTCATAAGTATGAACCAATTGCCAAGAATTTGAATTTTGATCACATGATCACGAGGAAGCTGAAAAGGTCATAACTCTGAAAAATGTTCATAAGTCACTTTCTCAGTGCTGTTGTAACTTTGAACTGTCACTAAATGAACTGTTGTACGTTGAGGACTACCCGCGTGAGTGCGTGTATAGTATATAGCATATATCTTCTGATATAGCTCGTTGCTCAAGTAAAATCGAGGGAGGGACCGTTAATGTGGACTGGGATTCATCACTGCTCAAATCCATATCTAAATAGCATGGCAATTATTCTCTGGTAAGCCATCTAAAAATGTAGAAAGTCAATCTACCTCATCAAATCCTTTGAAAACGAGAAATCATGCTCTAGGCAAGGTGGTTTTTAAGTAGAGATCAGTTGACTAGCGTATTACATTTCTACAGTTTTAATTTAAACATAATTTTTTCAGTATTCCTAGATATGGAATCAGTAAGGCTTTATTATTCATTCGATTCAGCATTTAGAATGTTTTAAAATATATATTTCAAGAATATTGGTGTTTTATAGAATTATTATGACAAATCTCATCTTGAGCTTGTTAACTACACCAATTTTGACCAGGGAATGACCTACCAAAAATTTAAAAGCTGTTGGATTTAAAAGATGCTGTTACAAAATAAAAAATGAGGGCAAATATTCATCTTTTAAAAGGGAGGAGATTTAATGATATATTTTTTTTACCAGTGAATGAAAATTATGGAATAGACAAAAATTTGGAATGTTTCATAATTAAGTTAGGATTTCAAATCAATTTTTAAAAATCTACTGCTAGTGCCAAGAGTCTTCTGCTGCCTCTTATTTTTAACACTTTTATTCCTTATACTTGGCAAAAAATCATTCCAGCTGTGACTTGGCTAAAATGCTTTTCTGAAATTCCTACTAATTTGGATTAAAGTCGATGTTTGAAAGCCTCAGACTGTAATGCTGGCAAGCAAACTGCTGAGGCCCCACTACTTCTTTCAAACTCTTATCTGCTGAGGCATTTAGACGGACCTAAGAGAATGGTGAAATCTAGCTTGTTTCTTTCCACAGACAGACAACTGCCATTAGCAGACCAGGATTAGTGGTTGGAGCTCAGTTTTTAAGTTTTCCATTACTACTTCTAGCTCCCATGCTTTCTTCTCAAACATTTCCAGAAGGTTAGAAGAAATCTCTTGCTTTTGGAATTCTACATAAAGATTAAAAAAGAATTGAAGCTACACTTACTATTTTTTAAAGATTGATTTGCCAGAAGCATGTATATTTACCATCTACATTTAAAAAACTCTGATAAAGCTGTATCCCCTTACAATGTATCTTTATTGATTTTCAAGTAATTGATTTTCAAATATTTTCCAAATTTTGCATCAAGAGAGAGAGAATAATTTATGTCATTTTTGGTTTCATACAAGTTTGCAGGGAAGATTCTCTCCCCCACCCCATCCCAATTGGCTTCCTCTATTTCTGCTGTGGAAGCAGGAAGAAGAAAGAAACAGCTGTAAACTTTCCTAATTCAGCAGCAAAAGAAATCATTCAGGCAAATAAATGAACTTGTGGTAAAGAATTTTGTAAGAACCACCTAAAATGATTTCCAATTTTTGTCTTTTACCCATTTGCGTAAGACTTCCATTCTACATCTTGAAATAAAAAAATGACTACTTTCCTTTTGAGTACTGTGCAAAAATGTTAGAAATTAAGAATGCTTTCAGAAATAGAAGCAATAGTTCATTAATTAACAAAATGGAAAGTAAATGAACAGAAGAAAAATCCAAATAAAATCAATATTTGCTGAGACTACCCACTGCCTTCAAAACAACATCAATTCTTCTCAGTATACATGCATACAGTTTTTGAAGGAACTTGGCAAGATTCCTTCAAGCTTGTTCCTAACATCTTGGAGAATTAACCACAGATCTTATGTAAATTAGGCTGCCTCAATTTCTTCCGTCTTTTCATGAAATTCCAAACAGACTCGATATGTTGACATCATGGCTCTATGGGAGTCAAACCATCATTTCCAGGACTTCCTGTTCTTTACGTTGAAGATAGTTCTTAATGACATTGGCTGTATATTTGGGGCCATTGTCCTGCTGCAGTATAGATTCGGGGCCATCACATGCTTCTGTGATGGTATGGCATGATGAATAAGTATCTGCCTGTATTTCTCACATTGAGGACACAATTGATCCTGCCCAAATCTCCAACCCCATTTGAATCATATTTTAACTTATCAGTCTAGAGCACCTGCTGCCATTTTTCTACACCCTAGTTTCTATGTTTTCATGCATAGTCAAGTTGCTTAGCCTTGTGCTTACATCTAGGAGGTACAGCTTTTGAGCCACAATTCTTCCATGAACACTACTTCTGGCTAGATGTCTCTGGACAGTAGATGGTTTAACTTGGATTCTACTGGTTTCTGTCAATTCTGTGCTGATGGCACTGCTGGACATCTTCTGGAAGTAAGCATGATATATCTTTCATCTGCTGCATTAAGTTTCCTTGGCCAATCACCGTGTCTACAGTCATGAACATTGCCCATTTTTTTTGTGCTTCTTCAAAAGAACTTGAACAGCACATCTTGAAATCCTAGTCTACTTTAAAATCTTTGCCTGAAAGAGACTTTGCTGATGCAGCATTACGACCTTTTATCTTGTTCCTGTGCTCAGTTTTGCCATGGTATATGAGCTGCGATATGAAACTGCCTTCCACAACCTCACCTTAGTAGCAGAGTTTGGCTGTTCTACGCAGGGCTTTTTTTCTCATATAGAACGCCCAGAACGGAGTTCCGGCACCTTTTTTGGATGGAACCTTGTAGGTAGGCAAGGCGGGTTATATGACGTGTGTGAGTTCCGGCACCTTTTTTTTTTTTTAAAAAAAAGCACTGGTTCTATGGTTTTAAGCCTCTTACACAGCTGTTTCAGTTTCAGTTAATGATTGTGTTTCAACCTACATATGAAATGGATGATCATTATCATTTGCTTGGTATAATAGTTAATCATACACTTGATTGTAATCCTACAAAATCCCTGACTTTGTGCAAGTGTAAGAATTGATGCTTTTTTGAAGGCAAAGGGTGATCACACCAAATTTTGATTTGATTTGATGTTCATTTACTTTCCATTTTGTTAATTGATAAAAATAGACTATTAACATTTCTATTTCTGAAAACATTCTTAATTTGCAGCATTTTTGCACAATCGCCTAACAGTTTTTCACAGTACTGTTTTTGCATTTTTCAGGGTTTGAACCATGCCATATTATAAATGGGTTTTAATACTCCTTTTTAGCAAAAGGATGGCTTGTGGCATATTAGACTGAAGTTTTAAATTAAAACAAAACTATAAAAAATCACCTTAAGCTCTCGTAACCAGTTCTCTTTTGGGAAGGTGCAGAAGGAAGCCAAAAAACAATAAAAGAGAAAAATTATGAGCGGCAATTCCTTCACTTATTTCAGCAGCTATGTAGTTTCTACTTATTTGTTCATTTTTTTATTATATACTCTAAAAAGAAAACAAAAATGTTCAGACTTTAATATTTTTGAATTGTGCATTCATAAACGTGAATTCTGGTTTAGCTTACTTGATCCTTCTTTACTCTTGAATTACCATTGAGCTGAAAGATGTAAACATCAGATTTCTTTGCCTGTGGAAGTATCCATGTATGACTAACTATCATGTCTGACGTCAACTTCCAAGCCTTTTTACCACCAAAACTCCTTCTCCAGACCAGCTACACAGCGCAGCTGGTTCTGCATGGAAGCAAGCGGTCAAAGAGTTTAGGCACCAACATGACAAATGTAGATTGGAGAGCATCCTAAGGCCACAATGTTGTCATGATGACAAGAGACCTAGCCTTTAATAGGGGTGTTAGAGGAGCTGGCAAGCTTTGATACCAATTGACCTTATCTTTGCCTTCCAACAGCCTTACGTATTTCCTGACGGTTTTCTTTAAAACTTTCCTTATATAATTTGAGAGAGAAACATTGTGGAGTAGTAGATATTTTTGGATTAAAAAAATCCTGGACATAGGAAAGAAACTCTGTGGTTGTTGTCTATAGCAACATCCCAATATTCTGAAATGGGGAAACATACCATGTCAGTGGAGAAATAAAGCTGTAAGAATCCAGGAAATTCTCCAACTGCTAATGGAGTACACTGATCCTGATATTGGCTGGGGTTGGCTGCTTGCCATTGGTTTCAAGCTGAAGGAGTACAGAAAATTAAACTGTTCTCAGGTAGAAGGCAAAAAAGGGAAATTCTATTGAAATTCAAAAGTGTTGATTCCAAATTTCAGCTATGCAAATTATAATTAGCCTAGGGGCCAGAGGTCACTGCCTTACAGAAGTAATGCTACACAACCATGGGTCCTAATCAACCAAGATATTCTAATCACATTTATCTTAATGTGATAGATGATAGATAGATAGATAGATAGATAGATAGATAGATAGATAGATAGATAGATAGATAGATAGATAGATAGATAGAAAAACAATGTTGACTGGTCCTTTTTTAAAGTCAGCTCTAGCACTTCATTCTGCAAATACAATGATATTCTGAGAGGTTTATTTATTGTGAAATTCTTTACTTATTGAGTGATTTGAGAATGGTATTTTTTTCTCTTTCGCTTTCAGGTGTATTTGGCCAAATCGAAAACTTAGAGCAGTGTTGACACTTCGCTTTTGTAAAAGAATAGGCTCTTCAGAGCTAGCTTTGTCTCTCAGCAGAACTCTTGACAAGGTGTGGACAAAAAGCTCACAATACCTCAGAAGGCCTGAGATAATTTTTTCACCAAATTCACTGCCAGTGTCTAAGAATGGCAAATGAAGAATGAAGTCCCTGCACATATGCAGAGCAGATTAATTTCAAAGTTTCTTTTTTATTTGTTCTTCAGAAAATAATTCCCCTCCATGATGAGTGATACTGTTTGCTAAAGGTGAGAGGTAAAACTATATTGCATTTCTGACTGATTGAATTGTCTGTCATGAAAGCCAATATTTTGTTTTCAACTTGATATTGAATTACAGAAAGAGGAGAATATTTGTAGCTCAGGGTTGAAATGAGGAGCCTGAGTGCTCTCTAAGCTTGAAAAAAAAGCATTCAAGAATTGAATATATATGACATATATAATAAATAGTTGGAATAATGTAATTTATGAAAAGTGACTTATTTTTAATTATTGAAATACCAAATAAAATGTTTAAATAAATAATTCAATTCAAAATTGTTACACTCTACTTCTTCTGGAAGCCGAGTAGGATAGAAAGATAATACTTCCTTTTTTCACATTTCTAGCTTGACATTCTTAAAATATTGTGTGGTTATGATAGACTTCCACACTTGTCAGAACCCCTCAACATTGAGGTGGTTAATAGAATGTCTAGCAACTTACAGCTGGTGTAAATTATTTGATTATAAGATGGAGATTAACTCCCATCTATCCGTCTGTCCTGAACCTCAAAAGGATATAGACAGGTAAAAGAATCTTACCAGTTTTTCTCAACAAGTACTGCATATGGCATCTGCAGAATAGAAGACACATGTAATAAAATCATTTCTTTGTGTTTTAATAGGCTTCTCTAAAATGGTAAGCTTCAGAGGTTCTCATTAGAGCAGAACACACACAGAAGTCATTGTACTCAAATCCCTTCCTGTCTAGCAAAGGCGTTCAATTCCATTCTTCCAGTGTCCTCCCAAATTGAACTTAACTAGCCAGGAAAAAGTTTGCTTAGAAGCTGTTCTTTGGTAGTCTTCTGAAGAGAAGGATTGCCTATGTGAATAGAAGGCAAGTAGAATAGCAAGTTTTTTCCCCAGAATCAATCCAGTGCCAGATTTCTGAGTAGATAATAAACAAAAAGTGTTAATTTTTTTTTTAATTTGGATCTGCTCAAACATTGCCTGATTAATTTCATCACTTTTTCCTCCTGAGGTTCAGTTTCCATTTTGACTTTGCTGCAAACAGAAGATGAAGTTGAGGTTCTATCTTAGTGCCTGAAGGCTGTTAACGTCTGGATGCAGAGGGGCAGGCTCAGAACCAATCTTAGCAAGATCAAGTGCTGGGTAAGGAAGCTAGTTAACACCAGTGGAGTTCCATATTTGTGTAACTCTACTGATAAATACTGTGTATTATTATTATTAGTGAATGGTGTTGTTACGTTAGCCAGGAGACTACAATGCTAATGCAGAATAGTAGTTTGGTTGCCAATTTACTATTTCTGTTGTGGTACCCACTCACGGGCTTCCCACAGTGTGCCACAGGAAGGTGAGCTAGCTTCGCACCACAAAGTAATATGAGTGACTTCCTGCAGCATCATCCAAGGCCCCCTTCCCTCCACCGGAGAGCCACCTTGCAAACATACATCAAAACCAGGAAGGTTCAGAGCCAACAGGAATCTGACTGCTTGCATGAAGCACCAGCTCATCACCCCACCAAAGAGGTACCTACTTACCTACTTGTATAGAACATGCTTTCGAACTGCTAGGTGGGCAGAAACTGAGGCAAGTGACAAGAGCTCATCCCTCCACACAGTGCTAGAGCTCAAACCATAGGAGCAGAGACCATCTCCAGCATCATTAAGTCATTGAGCCACCTTGCCTCAATACTGTGTAAAGAAGGGTACACAAAGACCTCTGCTCTAGGAACACAATCCCAGAGCAGAGCAGGTCTTTATGCATCTTCTTTACACAATTCCCCCATGGGTATCAGCTACAGCTATTCCATAGACCAGGAGCATTGTTGATAATCACTTGTGCCAATTTTTTCTTCTTAGGGCTTCCCTGGAAAATCAATCAGAAATTTCAGCTGGTCTAGAATGTAGCAGTTTGGATTCAGTGTCATTTGCCGATGTAACATCTTCAATTGAAGAGCCTCTTCTCCACATTGGTTATTATAAAGCTTCTGGGTGCAATCCAAGGCATTGTTTGTCACCTCTTAAATCCTCCGTAGCTTAGAACCTTTTGGAGCCACTTACTCCAAATGAAAAGTTCTTGTCCAGTAAAAATAAAGAAAATGGCCTTTTAAATTAGTAGTATGTTTTAAACTGTATCTGATATTATGAGCATAATTTATTGTAGGGTGGGGGGTGGGGTTGATGCTCAAATAAAACTGAATTCCGAGATGGCTTGTCTGGATTTGTCATCAACACTTGGAACAAGTAAAGTTGCTAGACAATTTGGATATGCATGGATATTTGCTTATCTTCAACAAAGTAGATCATTCCTAGTCAGATATAATGGCGTGAAGATTTAGGTGGAGGTGGAAAATTAAGAAAAGCTATTTCTCTGATTCTGTCCATGAATGGAACGTATTTTACAGCTGCTTATTCAGGTAAATTACATAGTTTTCAGATTCAGGAGTTTTATTTTCCATTTATGATTAAATTTCCTTACCCAGGAATGAAAATACTTTTCACTAAGAAAAATATAAACCTTTCTGTTGGTAAGGCATTCAAAAATAACAGAAGAAGATGCTTGTGATAAATTCTTTTGCAGTTTGAATTGTTTGAAATGCCAGATCTACTTTTGATTTAAGTCTTATGTGGTTCAATTTTAATTTTCCTAAACTGCAGGAAAATATTTAAGAAGTCACCTTTTTTTTTAAAAAAAATCTTGATTGTAATCCCAAAATTCTAATCTGCAAAGGTTATCATTAAAAAAAAGACTTAACGCCTATTTTTGTGTTTGTGTTTTTCACACAGAACTAGGTGAAACACAATTATGACTCTAGTCTGATTTAACAAAGCAACACACAAAAATTGGGTTTAACTGCCTTGAAAATACTTCATCATATTTTTTGAAGGTCATTACTGGGTTTGTGTATTTCTAAATATCATTTGAGCTATTTTGATTAAGACACATTTATTACTTATCTTCATGCTTATGAATCATGAATTTTGGATATCCTCAGTACATTGTATTTATGTAAAGGTCAGAAAACTCATAATTGACTTTAGCATCTCATCAACTGGAAGAAAAAGTATGGGCCACTTATGACTTCCCACAGGAACAGATGAGATCACCTTCCCCCAGTCCCAATCCACTGCAAATGCACTCCATGGCTGGGTTTTCCAGCTTCCATTGAAATCTGCTGTTTTCTGACATCTTAAGTCCTTCAAAATAGATAGCCTATAGCTCTTTGTCCGTCCTAGTGGTAGCTTCAGCTCTGATTGGCTGAAATGCCTGGCATGTCCTTTCCCCTGACACGGGGTGGTGATTGCCCTGGGTTGCTGGGCTGCTATGTTCTCTGCTGATTGGCAGTTGCTGTTTGTTTTGATAATCTTGCAATTGATCCAATAATGACCCATTAAGTCAGTGAACTATCCACAGCCAGAAATTCACTCCCCATTCAACACTTAGGGTTCCCATTGTACTCCCTTTTGAATACTGCCCAGTGAAGTATTTTCCCCTTCCCCGGGTTCTTCAAAGTCTACATTATTTTTTTCAAACAATTTAAGTTGCAGTGTAGGAGCATGAACTCGAGCTATCAGTTCTTCCTTGCTAAACTATTTCCATGGACCTACAAAGGAACATAGGAAGAACAACTTTCCCCCTATTGATAAGCTTATTATAGTATAGGAGCTAGCTATTATGGTACCATAAAGACAAAAAAGAAAAAAAAAGTGTTTCTTTGTATCTAAGGAAATATATGGAAAGGGGTATGTGCAGGCTGCCCTGTATGCAAACATCTGCAAAAGTAAAGGAAAGACATGGGGACCAGTGAGGAGGGAACAGTGCCTGAAAAGAACAAAAGGCAGGGACTGGCAACCAGTCAGCAAGTTTTGCTTTCCTTGTGTGGACAGGAAAGGCAAGAAGCATAGAATGATTACTTGGGGCTTGGACTATGGTGGTGAACTATAGCCTGGACTATTCTCCACCCTGGTCCTGTAGCCTAACTCAATGCAACCTAGGCAGAAACTTCTGGAGTTAGCTAAGAAACAGCCGGGAGCTGAAAAAGAGACCAGGAGTTTAGGCTGCAGTGTGGAATTGCTCTTTGTTTTCTTCAGTTGAGACATATTCTACTCTGGGTATCTCTTCAGCATATGGATATTTTTGACCAGCTAGCTCTCACTGTTTACAGACTACCCAAACTTACATTTGGCAAGAGCAAGTGTATAGACTGTGATATAATGTGTTGTCCTAAACCCTGGCTGGCTGAGGAATTCTGGGAGTTGAAGTCCACAAGTCTTAAAGTTGCCAACTTTGAAGACCTCGGCCCTAAATGAATGTAGCCTAACAAATATAATCAGAGTAGGGCATGAAAAAAGGGATGAAAAGGGAATGAAAAAGAACTAATATTCTGGCATTAGGGGATCCTGACAAGACTTAAGTCCATAGATGCCATTCCTCAGGATAGTCCACATTAGGAAACAAAGTCCACAGGAAAACTAGAATGGCACTTCATTGAGATAACCTATAATAACATAATCTTGCAAACCTGATAGTGCTTTATGTCTTGCTTTTTTTACCTCACTGAATCAGGGAAGAGCTTGACTGAATCTCTCCTGGATACTCCCTTGTACTTAAGGGATGTTTCAGTCCTCTTTGCTTATATAACAGTTCCTCCCTATTTCTTTCATGGTCATTTCCTTACTCTACAATAGGTTGTTAGATGATGTGTTGTGCGGAAATAGCTTTACCTGGCAGCTGTACTGATGGAATGCCAATTGGCCACCTAAGTCAGATGCTACTTCTGTATATAGCCTCATTAAGCTCCATTGAGCCTGGAATTAGCTTCAAATGTGTCTCTTGTGGGAATGTATTGCTGAATTATGCCTTATCGATATTTTGTGATGCCACAGCTGGTGCCTACTTATTGGATGGTAAGGAGGAAGGGCAGGTTAAGGAATGATTGGGAAATAGACTCCCCTGTTTGGTAGTGGCAGCATTGTCTATTGGGGGAGCATGTCTGCTGCTCACTTTCCTAGGGCCCAACAGTCCTATGTATTTGGAGGACATATAGACTCTAGAGTCTAGAGCTGCATTAGTCTTATGTGATCTTTTTGTCTTTCTTTCCTCTATTCCTGAATGGGACATCTACTGTACTTAGGGATGTTTGCCCTTTGCTTTTCTTGTCTTTTCTCCCTTACTGAAGACTTTGTTTTCTTTGCAAAGTGCCTGTGTTTGTGTTTCTCGTGGGCCGTTTGGGAAAAGCGGTTTCAATAAAAGAAAATACGTGTAGTTCAGGTTTGAACACTTGTGTTTTTGAAGCTCTCTGAGCTTGGTTGTTTTACTTGCAGACAGTTAATTACCCAACTGAGTAACATTATTAGAAGCTGGCTTCATTGGTGAGGATAGCTATGGACAAGGATGAGGGATCTGAGAAGGATAGGTGGGTGGGCTGGCTTGAAATAATACTATCCAAGATTAGGGTAGAGGCTTTAGCTTTTGCTTGGGATACATTTTTGGAATGATATTGAGACTTTCCCAGCCTTGTCTCTATATACAGTATATATGCAATTTGCTTGTGGGAAAGTGTTGGTCATCTATAAAACCCTACATGGCATAGGACCAGGTTCGCCCAAACTCATCAGCCGATCTCACTAGATCAGATGGAGAAGGATTGACTGGTTGGGGTTTAGGAAAAGAGCCTTCTTTATTGCTGCCCCCGGTTTGTGGAATATCTTGCCCCCAGAGTTTGACCCCCACAAAGGGGTCAAACATGGCCGTGCATGGGGGGAGCACAGAGGATCTCACAGTCATGGGGGTGGCTAGTCCTTTGAGACTCCGCCACACACACACCTGTAATAATCCAATGCTAAATGGCCATTTTAGGATTTCCCTCTTCAGATGTTTAAATGTCATTACTCTATAATTTTGAACAATTTAACCATAATTTAATTTTAATTTCTAATGTTAATTTTTATATGTTGCTTTATTTCTGAGTTATATTATAGTGTACTCTGCCCAAAGCCCCTCCTCTTTGAGGAAGATAGGGGTTTAGAAATATGAAATATAAATAAATATGGCCATGCCCACTATTTTGAAGTCAGTGGCCATCGTTATGAAACTCCCTGGTCAAGTAGGCAGCACTGGGTGGAGAATAGAATGGAGGAGATGTGTGTGTGTGTGTGTGTGTGTGTGTGTGTGTGTGTGTGTGTGTGCGTGTGTTGATATGTATTTACTTCTTCCATTCTATTCTCCACCTAGTGCTGCCTAACTGGCCAGAGAGATCCATAGAGATGGTCACTAGATTCAAAATGGTGGGCATGACCTGGTGACTGAAACTTTACCCCTTTTAATGTACAGCTAATGCTTATTAAAAAAAAGAGGACACCTGGCATTTTGAAACTGGTGAGATCACTGTGGATGCCCCATTCCCTGGCCAATGGCTAATTATTTGTTAAAGCCTTGGCATTAGTACTGTCCTGCCCTAAATACTCTCTGGGAAATGGAGGGCCACAAATCAATCAATTATTTAGTCAACTGATTCAAAGAGTGATTTGGTCAAGTTGGGTTCCAACTGAATATTTGAACAGAAGCGCTGCATAGCCATACTACACAATATATAAAACGCAGACTTACAATTCAAATAGTTCCCAGTCTTTTGTGAACTTGCTGAATTTCTTTGGCAAAGTATTAGATCTTACCTTCAGATATTATTGGCAAAATAAAAGTTTCTTAAGGTTATTTCAGAATTTTCCTGGAATTGGGCAGTCTTACTGAATCCAATAAATAAAATTAAAATAAATGAAAATGACATGCAAACTTATTTATATGGTTATTGGGAGGATGACGCTGATGCTGAGAAGGAGCAACAGAAGAAACGAAGCATCGGTGAACTTCCCGCTGACTATAGTTAAATGATAGATGTTTTTGCCAACAGAGTAATATTTTCTTTTTTAAAAAATATAATTCTTACTATTTTATAGCATTTATAGCATTTTCTGACGCCAGGCTTTATGTTGGACAGTGTGCTCAGTTTGACTGGTGCTTCTGCAGTTGGCAACCATAAAAAAGAAGTCGCCCATTGTGATTTAGAACTGGTTCCAATAAAAAGACTGGATGGTCTTTGAGATTCTGCTTTTCACATCACACCAAGCTAATGTTCCTAATAAATGATGTTAGGAATAAAACAAATAAAATCTTGTGGAGCTGACAGTTACTAATCTGTGCTGAGTGCCTGGAAAACTTTCAAGAAAATCATGATGCACAGCATGGTTCTTAATGCTGTGAACATCATACCTGTCAGCAACTTTTTAACAAAGTGCAATTGCAGGATAAAGAGATGTTTGATTTAAGAAGGTGCCAATAGGTGCAGTGTGTGTGCTGTAGCACTTTTTGCCTTTGAATTCACAGTCCTAATCACAATATACACAACTCTTCCATTTGTTTATACAATCTTCTCTTCTTTTTCTTCCCAGCTTTTGTGAATATACAATTTTCTTTTTGTCTGTTTCCATATCGTTTCTTCTTGATTCATCCTTGTATGTTATCAAACCAGTTTTCCATAAATTCTTGAAATATCAGCTCAACAATAATCTTTTTCTTTTTGTCTAGCACCAATGAATGGCAAATAAATTCTGAAATAATACAATGCTACTGATTCAGGGGGACTGTCTAGTGGGAGATTAATCTTTTTGAACTAAAATAGATTTATAG